CGCGGGAGCCGGAGGAGGAGGAGGCCCCCGGGCTCTGAGCGGAGGGAAGCAGGCAGCGCTGGCCATGGCCTCCAACTTTAACGATATCGTCAAGCAGGGCTATGTGAAAATCCGCAGCAGGAAGCTGGGGGTGAGCCGGCTGGTTTCTTTCCCCCTTCTCGCGCGCGGTATGAGGGGTTGGCGGGGGGCACCCGCCCGCACCTCCTTGCCGCGGCTGGCGGGCAGGGCGCTGCTGGGTGGGTGGGTGAGCGGGGCTTGAGTGGCGGGGCTGGGGAGCAGGGACCTGCTGCTGGCGGACTTTGCTTTCCCTTTACTTAGGCGGGAGAAGGGGGTTGCGTGGGCAGAGCACCTTACAGACAGTGGATCCCCATTTCCTCCCCCCACTGAAGGCATCGGTTCTCCTATTTTCCTTGGTAGTTGACTTGTTTGGCTAATAGAGGTGATTGGGTTTTGGAATTTGCTGGGAGCCTTCTTTTCCCTATAGCGGTGTCTCAAGCTGGGGAGGAAATTTCCCTTTGCGTGTTTCTTCCTCCCTGCGCCCTCTGGCTCAAGTTGCATCTTAAAACTGGGGGAGGGGGAGAGTGGACCAATGTCTGTAAATGTTGGGCAGAGATCCCCTCTATCCTGTGTGGGAAGGGGTGGCTCCCACCGGAGGGAATGCTGAAAAACCCTGAGACTTTTGAACGGCTCCCCACAGTCTGCTAAATTGAGGAAGCAGCGAAGAATGGTGCAGGAAGAATTACGGCCCGAGGCTGGAGGAGGGGCGCAAAGTAGCTGGTCTGGGGGCAGGGTAGGAAAATCGGTGGCAGGAGTTCCATGCCTATGGGCAGACTATGCGGACTGAAGGGGGAACTGAAAGTCTGACGGACTTCGATGGGTGCTGAGAGAGAAGCCAGTGGATAGGGGAAAGTGGCCGAAAACGGTACCCAGAGTCACTTTCAGGAGTGCACATTAGCTAGGTAATGCTTACTCTGCTTGTCCACAAACGCTAGCTCTGAAGGGCCGAGGTACAGCGACCCCAGGCACCGAAACATCAATAAACCGGAGCGAACTTTCTAAACGCTTCGGAACTTTGCCTTCTCGCTCTCTCTGTGCGGGTGCTGAAACGATGTGGTTTGAAAGGCCCCCAACGAAGCCCAGCCGAAAGTTTGCTTTTGTGTAAAGGCACGAGCTTGAGGATTTCTTATGATTTTATTAGGAACGTTGTTCAGGGAGAAGTAATTGCCAGTTTGCGGGGAGCAATGTAATTAGTCCCCGCCCAGGCGTTCCTTCAGTTCCCACACGTGTTTGTAGACTGGCAGGTGTGCGGTGTGAAGCGAAAGAGAGGGCCGTCTTGGGGTTTGATTGGTGGCACCGGCGCTTGTTTGCTCCTGCAGAAGGCCCCTCCTGGGAACGAGGTGCAGACAACGGGCTGAGAAGGGGCAACACGTTTAGGTTTCTATTAAATTAGTGTCATGGAGAATTAACTTCTCCGTTGACTTCAGTACACGAGTTCGAATGGAGAGCAGAGCCGAATCCCGCTAGGTGTTCGGAAGGGACGCTTTCCGCTTAATGGGCTGTTTAGGCAGGAAGGGAAAGTGAATTGAAAACAGTCTGTCACACAGCAGAGGGCAGGAAAGAAGGTGCAGTCTCAGGCTTCAGCTCTCGTACCCAGAGCTTTTTTTTTTTCTGTCGAAAGAATGAGACGCGTTCCTCTGTCGTCATCTCTTCTCTCCCCCCCCCCTTCCCCCCCACGCGTTCCTCTGTCGTCATCTCTTCTCTTCCCCCCTCCCCCCAGGCAGATAAGGGAGAGGCCGTGTGAAATCTGCAATTTTACAAGTAGCTGAGACCTTATCGCAGAGCTAATCTCTCGTCCTCTGATGCTATGCTTAGCTTGCAGACGCAGTGTACGGTACACAGGACAATGGGAATGATCATAAATCGACCATTGGGACACTTTGCTGTCTTGACAGGGATGTTTAAGGGCACAGCAGAGTTTAGTTGGAATCTCATGTACAGCTGACTTTTGTACCCTTCAGATGGGAAACGATTTTAGGACGCCTTACCTATCCATCCCACAATCGTGGATTTCTGGGTGGAACATTAGTTTCAGGAAGCTATGTTTGGACCTTAGTGGCGTTTGTTGTTAACCCTTAGCTCCCGAGACAGTACTAATATTATGGGGGCCTGATCCAAAGCAATGGGCAGATTGAACGGGGTCAGTGTCACAGCATGTTGGTGCTCTTAATTGGAAGCTTCAGAGGAGTAGCCCAGTTAGTCTGTAACTTAAGAAACAGCAAATAGTCTGGTAGCACTTTAAAGACTAAGAAAACATGTAAATTGTATCATGAGCTTTAGTGGGCACGGCCTACTTCTTCAGATGACCAGCTCTTAATTGGAGGCAGAATTGTTCTGATGACTTACAGACAATTTTCGGAAGTATCTTTAAATATACAGGAATTAAACAATAAGTATGCATACAATGGCTGCATATTAGCAGGCATCACATACGATGAATGTAAAGATCTACAAGTGACACACATGAAGACAGTAATTGCATCAAGGCATAATTTTTATGAATTTAAGTTCTTCTTTTAGATATTGAAGAGGGGCTTGATGATGGTAGTTCACTCTTCAGAACTACACCTTATTTATGGTAGCTTGGTGGTTGTGTTGCAGAAGGCAGACTAGACCATCTCTATATCCTCTCTGGAAAATTATCTTCTGTTGAAAAGATACAGGGTTTGTGAGTTCAGACTGTACAACATCAGGTAGTTCAAGAAAGTAAATGTAGAAAGTAGAAATGTAGCTGAAAGTAAACTAAACACATAATTTACAAAAACATATTGTGTAAAACCTAACATCAAAAGTAATGCAAAGCTGTGGCAGAAATGTGTGAATGTGTGTATATCAATCTATAGCTAATCACATTCTGTCCTGTCTGAATTTTCTAAATGAATGCAAATTTTATTCATAAAGTGGAACACTAAAGATTTGTGATTCTTTCCTTTATATAAAAGTGTATTTCCAAAATGAACTGGAGAGTCTGTTTGTGTTATTTTATGGTTAAGCTTTTATGAAATGTACCTAAGACTGTTTTCCTGTAGGTGAATAAATCCTCTTTAAGGGATGTAATAACGTGTTATCATCCAAGAAAATAAATAATGAAGTAGAGGGTCTGTATGTTGGAACTTGTTACCTAGATAATTCTGAAATATGTAAAGTGTTTTATCTCATTAGAGCATTTTTAAAATACATTAATTTTTGAAGGATATTTTCCTAAGAAAGTATCTATCCTCTAGAAAGGTGGACAGCCCATTGCAGACGTTCTTCCGGTGCTTTTGCTGTATTCAGTCTCTCTTTATGACTGAGTGAGCTCTGGCTAGGAACCAAACTAAAGATATTGTGATCTAATGCAACCTGTGGACAGTCAAATATTCAGGTGTGTGAAATAGTGCTACAGTACAAATGCAGAAAGTGTAATGCATATTTGACAAATTAATCTGAGGTTTTGAGTAACATTTTGGTAGACTATGTGGTTTCTGGAAACTCAAACCCTCTGTCACCTTGTTACCACACCTCATGAATATTACAGTTCTTAAAAGAAAAATTCTTCTAAGTGCTTTATTACAAAATATGGCATATGTATCACTATTTTATTAAAGGTATATTTTGCTTCACTTCTTAAATGCTATGGAGTCCAGTTGGGTAATCCCACAGGTATTTATTTGTATTTAGATTTCAGTATAGGAAGTTCTCCTTTCCTTGAACATTCTCAATATCAGCATCTATTTTTACGTTTTGAAATTATTTTACAAGAGTATTCTATTCATTTTCAGGGGAACTAGGATAATTATTATACATTACAATCAGTACTGTAGCCACGGGTTAACGATTTCATACCAAAATCGTTTATGATTATTTCAGATAGAAAGGGCCAAAGTCCAAATGGAAAGAAAGGGCCAAAGTCCTAATGGAAATAAAATACAAAACATCTTACTAGAATTGATAATGACTTGTTTTGCAGTGGACCTACATGATATACTGATCATTTTAATTTTGTCGTCTTGCTCACAACCAAGAACCAGTCTAACACTAGCCTTGTGTCTTAATGGATTTGTGTGTACGTTTCTTCCATCCAGCAATTTTCGAATTGACCCCATTGTGTATACTGTTTCTTTATGAAGCTGGTAAAAATAGCTCCTTTTGATCTAGAGTCAGAGACAATATCACAAAGAAAAACCTTACTTGCAATTCTGTTTTTTGTAAAAATCTGTCAACTGCCCCACTGGGAATGTAACTGCAGCTGCTGCAGAAGCAGCAAGTTATGGAAGAAAGTCACTCAACTAGTTTAACCACCAAGGCTCTAGTTCACGTTTTTATATACATTTTTAAAAGACATAGAAAGTATTTTAGGATGCATAGCAACTTGCAATACAATGCATTAAAGTCTGTGCAGAAAATATCCTAAACATATGCATATCAATTGCAATCTTTTGTAAATATCTGAAATCTCAGAAATGTGGACTCTATAGTCAAACTGAGCATACTTGTAATTAAGACTTTTTTTAAAGATATAGATTCACAGTGGCCTTTTCAGCTGTCTACCATTAGCACAGTGTTCGATATTTTGCATTTCTCTAATATTACATAAAGAAAATATCCCATTCTGCAGCCATTACATTTGACCTGCATGACCCTCTTTTGAAATAACTTTAATTGTAATATGGTATGCCGTTCAGATCATAATAGATCATTTGTGTAGTGTGGAATAGGACTATGCCACTTTTGTTCTTTTTGACTCTTATATTTGTGTTAAATTAAAATTCATATGACACAATTTTACACAACTTTAGCTGTGCTTATAAGTTGCAACTTCCTTGTAAGAGACAGGAATCCTTTTGTTGTCATCTTGTATCCTGAGCTGCAAAGATTTCAAGCATTGTTGAAGTGCTGTTTCTAAGAAGGAAAGCAATTTGAGGTCACATTAAAATAGTCTAATTAAACGAAATATCGTACCACTTCTATAGTTCTAGTTTGATCCATTTCAACCTCTGTGGTCACATCTTTTATTTATGTATTGCGTGCTTTGACCACAGTAGAAAAGAATTCTGTCTACTAGAAATTTTCATTGAGTTTGTGAATATATCC